CCCAGACCACTGGCCAGGCAGGGGAGCAGGGTGGGAGGGCTGGCAGCGAGCCTGCATTGCCCAGGGTCTGCCTTGGCCTCCAACTGAGCTCCACCTGCTGGAACCACCATGCCAAGACCCCCACCAGCCCTGGCACTACCTCACACTGATGCTGAGGAGAAATACCTGCTTGGAGATGTCTGTCAGGAGGTCCGGGGAGGAGCGGCACTGCCTCTCATCGTAGCGGGACGCGTAGTGCTTCCTGCAAGGCCAAGGGAACGGATGGGTGCGTGGTCAGGAGTGTCTCGTTCCCCCACCCCACCCCCCCACACACACCTGGGCACTGCCCCCTTTTCCTGGTACCTCTCAAAGGGCAAACTCTTCATCTTCGCCTTCCTCTGGTGCTCCAGCAGCTGCCTCTGTGTCCTCCCGCTGCACCAAGGGGGAAAAAGGCATGAGCAGCACCATCAGCCCCAGCCCCGGGCATACCCACACCCCGGGTGGTCCTAGGTGAGGCGAGGGGCTGTGGCAGGACCGAGGCAGAGGTCTCCAGGAAAAGCAGCTGTTGGGCATCATCTCCTCGCATCCAGCCAGGGATGACATAAAGGGGTGGCTCAGAGCCGTCCCCGCGCCCTCCCCAGCCCCAGCAGTTTGGGTTTCACCTGGGACATTACCTGTAGCGGAAACTGGAGCCCTTGCTGCACAGGAGGGCTTTGGGCTTTGATTTGGGCTCCTCAGACAGCCTGAAGAAGGCATGGTACTCCACACAAGTCTTCCAGAATGCCTTGCAGGCGTCCCGGCTCGCCATGGTGAACTCCAGTGTGTCCTTGCACAGCGCCTGCGTGGCCGGAGACAAGCGAACCGGTGTCCACGGTGTGGGGCCAGGCTCTGCTGTTGGCACTCCTGACCCCCCGAAGGATCACACCAGGCTGCCGGTGGCTCCGAGCAGAGGGGTGTCACCCACTGGGGACACAGGGGTGGCACATGCCATGCTCGGGAGGGCAGAGAATCACCCACGAGCAGCAGGGACTTGGTGTGGCTGACCTTCAATCCACAGCTGCCTGCGGCACGGTACTCACAGAGATATTTGCATGGAGCTTGATGAGAAAATGCTTCCTCTTGAAACTCAGTTTGCGAATTTTGGACCAGTTGAACGTGTTGATCTTTGTATTGCCCTGAAAGGGTAGAGACAGTGATTACGGCAGGATGCGGCAAGCTGGGAATGGAGAAGTATGCTAGGCCAAGACCTGAGCTTGCAGGACACTGCCTGAGACCTTGACGCAGCTCTCAGTGCTGCTGGACTCTTGGGAGGGGATGCTGGGATTTGGTGTTCGACCCTCCTCTCCATCAGTTGGTCCTAAAAGTGAAAAATCAAGCTTCAGAGCTTAGCTCTGGCTGAAGCTATCTGTGAAACTCCAGGATCCCAAGACAAACCTCTTAGAAGTTGGCAGAGAGTCCCATCTCAAATGTCACAGGAGTGAATGAAGCCTCCCCAAAAGAAATAAACCCCTCCTCTCCTTTGCTGGGAAGCACAATAGAGCTCAGCTCGCTCCCATGCCTTTAGACTCAGCTTAAGCAGGCTGCAAGCATCCCTCATCCATCATCATCACCACGCAGCAGCTGAGCTGCAGCCACACACCACCGGTGCCCCGGCAGGAACACACACACAATCCCATTGCTCCGTGCTCCAGCACCGAGACCCTCTCGGCTCTCTGGGCGAGCCCAGATGTTAATGGGCTCACAGATGCTCTAATCATGCGTGAGGGGTGTTTATGGCTCTGAATAAATAACCGGGTCTGGCAGCGCTAATTACGAACAGCAGATCCACAGTTAGGATTTTCTTTCCTTCTGCTCTGCTAAGATGTTCCCAGGTTGAAATTAGGCGGTGTGGGAGGGAAGCACTGCTTCACACTGGCTGCAAGGAAGTCTGCATTTATTCTGCAGCTACACCATGATTACAGCCTGACGTAATTGCACAGACATGGGGTGGCTATTTTTGCTGGGAGATTATACGGTGAACACATGTGACGCAGCCGTGTAACCT